AACCTATTTGGCAGGTTTCTACCTTTGCCTCCAATTAAATCTTTGCAGGGCAAGGGACTCTGCATTGGTTTGTTTGTTTGTTTGTTTTTCAACGCTGCTGGTTTCCACTACAGCGGTGGAACCGAGAAGGAAGGGTCCCAGCTGTCAGAGGGTACTTTGCATCTCTCTCTTGCTTTGTCCTGACCTCCAGCGCTGCAGCAGCTGCTGCTTCTCGAGTCGAGCAAGGCTGCAGCGCTCGTTACAAGCGAGTTGCACTCTCCTAGGTGAGGATGACAAGCTGATCCTGTGTGACGAGTGTAACAAAGCCTTCCACCTGTTCTGTCTGAGGCCGGCGCTCTACGAGATACCAGATGGTGAATGGCAGTGCCCGGCGTGTCAGCCTTCCACCGCCAGGCGCAGCTCCCGAGGCAGGTGAGTGGCCTTCCTCTCCTTCGCGTTGCCACTGGGGCACCGTTCCAGCCGTGCTTTCACAAGACAACCAAACCAGCCTGAAACAGAGCCCCTTTAAAAGGTTCACTCAGTGGCACTGGGACAATAGAAAAGCGATTTTTTTTTTTTTTCAGGCTGTAACTGTAGCCCACCTGTGCTGTGCTGACCCATGACAACCTCAGGAGTTTGAACAGATTGGCGGTGAAAACGTGCGCAAAACGTCAACCAAAATCAGATGCCCTAGGGGCTCTGGTTGTCCTTGAGCAGCCTTTGGGTTGCTTTTTCGTCGGAGGGTAGTTGGTAGTGCTCCAGCTCTGTAGCCCCCTGGGCTAAGTTTCTGTTGTGCTCTTGTCAAGTTAGAGCAGACATAACTCCAGGCTGCAGCTCAGCCCCTACTGTGCTCCTAAAAACCAGGCTACAAAATGCCACTCTGATGGTTTTCTGGACCTGATAGACCTGAGCAAGGCAGGAATCTTGATGGGCTACGAAGGGAATGCGATTTGAGGAGGAATAAAGTTGTTCTGTGCAACAGAAATTAGGAGTTGCCTCCTGACAGCAAGGGGTTGAATTGTTGTTTTGAATTACAATCTGGCAGTTAAACGTACGTGAGAAGTATTGTTCTCTTTGCAATGCACGTCCTCTGCTGAGCATGACTCTGCTGCCTCTACCTGCTTGGCAGTGAGGTGAGGCTATCAAATGGCATCTGAAGCATAAGCAGTCCACAGATCCTCCCTTCCAGAGTGGCAGCACAATAAGAGGTGTGCTGGCTTGTAGTGTGCAGGTGGTGTAGGGCCTTAGAAGTATTGCTTCCTCCCCGGACACCATTTAAGAGTTCCTTGTACAAAAATGACAGGGCTTCAGTGCAGCTGCTCCAGCCTGAGATCATAGTTCCTTTGATGTGGCAGAGTCACCTGCGAGCTGCTTGGCTCCTGGACGAGAGCCATCAGGTGGGGTAGCACCTCTTTTGTTATCTGCTTTCTGCTCTTGTCTTCCTAGCTGAGGCAGGCAAGAAATGTCAGCCGGGGAGCACGTTTGCCCTGTGCTGCGGGAGCTTATTCTTATTCCTTTTACTGCTCAAGATCCTCTTTCTCCAGGGAGTTGAGACTCCCACAACAGCTTTGCCTTTGTCCCCTTTTGCCTGTGCAGGCTGTTTTGTTTTCCTGGTTTTGTAACGGTTTGAATGCTTTAACAGACACGTGGGGGAAGTCAGAACTGTCCTGGGCAGGGAGTCTTGGTGGCTTCTGCCATCAGCCCATGAGAATCCCGACACTCTGCTCCCTAATAAACACAAGCTTAGCTGCGAATAACATAAATGAGGTCTGTTTCCTATGGTTCACATGCAAGTGGCGTGACAGCAGGAGGAGATAATGAGAAAACACTCTAGCAGAAACACAAAAGTTGCCCCCCTTTTGAAACTCCTCAGGCCGGGCCTGCAGACCTGGGTAAAACAGCAGCACGTTCTCTCAGGGAGGAGTCATTGCACAGCAATCACAGTCTGAGAATCTGTTATCCCATGGTCGAGGTGCCTACAGCAGCAAAAAATACGCAGATTCAGCTGTTGGGGATTTTCAGCCCTGATGTTGAGACGATACCCTGGGAAGTGCCCTTTTGGCTGTAGCTACAGCTTGATACTCTCTGAAATACAGTAGGCTGCTTCAGTCTGAGACTGGGTGTTTGTTTTACACGGAGGTGGTCAGCAAGGCTCTGCCTGTGAACAAACGGCACAGAGGGCCCGGGGCCTCTGATCCCCAGGCTCTGGTACAACAAATGTGTTTACCTGCTTTACTCTAGGAACTACGCAGAGGATTCTGCTGAAGATGAAGGTGAAGAAGGTGAGGAAGCTTCTGATGAACCAGATGCTGAGGAGGAAGAGGAGGAGGAAGAAGATTATGAAGTTGCTGGACTGAAATGTAAGGCTTTTGACCATGCAGGAAAGTAGCAGAAAATATTAAAACTCTGCCTTCAGTGTCCAAAGTATTGATTCTATTTGGGACTTGGTGTTTTTCCTCGCACACAACAGGTTCTTACTCGGAAACAGTGGGAGATGTCACAGGGGAAGGCTGTGGCCGTGCTGTGCATTACCCGGGGAGCTGGAGTGAGCTCTTGGCCCTTTGGGATAGGGTCAGTGCTAGCAAAGATCAAAACTGGGGTGAGCTCTCGCTCGCTGACCGGTCGCTGCCCTGGGGCTGCTGCTGAGAGCATTAGGAGCGCTGCGAGGCGGTCGGCAGGGGTTGCAGCAGGGCAGGGTGAGGCAGCGGTGTGGGCAGTTACTGGTGTGGGCAGTTACTGGTGTGGGCAGTTACTGGTGTGGGCAGTCTGCACCTACAGGGCTTGTTGGTAAACTGGATGCTCTTCACAGATGCTTGTGGAGCTTTAACCACAACCCCCTCTCCTTGCTTTTTCCCTTCCCACCAGCTCATAACCTCGTTAAGTGCAGGATTTCTCATGATTTGGCAAGGAGGCATCTTCGAATAGTAGGACTAGCACTTCCTCGGCCCGTTCCTGTGGGAGGGCACAGTGTAGTGTGGCCTGGGCCACCAGCACCCTTTGGTTGCAGACAGAGACCACTCGGGGTGCGTTACTGGCTCATTCCTGGGCAGCTGAGTGGAACAGAAGAGCATTTTCTAGACTCCTGAATGACTGCTTCTCCACTTAACCGCTTTTTAGTGTGTGTGTGTATCCACTTTGTTTTTCAAGGAGTTTGACTCGGTCTCATTTGGGCAACTGGATGCACTGAAAAGATCAATCTTGGAATGGCACGCTGCCAGCATTTGCTCTCTGTCAAGATGCCCTTGACTGACATAAAATTAAATTCAGGTTGTCTTAACCAGGGCAGATGGTGAAATCCAGAGAGTGGAACCCAAAGGATTTTCGTCTTCTCTCAAGGGTTTCCATCCAGGTCCATCAAGTCTGGATTCGCTTGCTTTATTCCGGTTTCAGGGGTGTTCACTGATACCCTGGCTGTGTGTACTGCTTGTTGTTCTGCGGTGTATCCATGTCCACACTTGGAGTGTGTTCAGCCTGTGTTGCGTGGCCAAGTCAGGAGCTGAGCCAAGGTTTCCAAACAATAGCAAAAGAGGGTTGCAGTCACTAAAAATAAAGCGCTAAATGCAACCCCTGGTTTTAAAGAGCATTAACATGAAAAGGTCGCTGTGGAAAACTTTTGTTTTACTAGAGAAGCCCCATTAATCCTCGTGGCGTTTATCCTGAGGGATCTAACCTAGAATGTTGGACTGTCAGACATTTAACACGTGCCGCACGCTTGACACACAAGCGGAGCGACAGCAGGCGGACGTCCCCCTGCCCCGCCACACGCTCCTCGTGCGGTGAGCCCGGCAAGATGATTTATTGGACAGGGCTGGATTAGAGGCCACAGATGAAGCGCTGCAGCGCGCTGGAGATAACAGCTTTGCTCGAGCACTTGTGACCAGGTGGGAAGGAGCTTGGCTGGGGAAGGAGGCCAGCGCCTTCTCCTGATACAGAGGGGTCACGGGAGAAACTCAAGACAAGGGAGTGCGTCAGCACGCTTGCATTTCCATCAGCGTGGAGCTCTTGACAGGCAGCCTCACAAACAGGCAAGTGCCTTTCTGTGGGATATAACGCAGCAGCCCCGGTCTTGGGGAATAAAATCCCATTGTTTCTCGCTCGCAGCACGTGGAGCAGCTCCTGGCTGCAGTAACTCAACACTCCCCCTGCACGCAGTTTACTTTTCAGGGGAGCTTAGCAACTGGCTTATCCCACTGTGTGGGCCACTTGTGAATGCTTGCAAAAGCACCCAGCCCCAAACCGGTGAGGAGCAAGGGGGGGGGCAGCAGGAAACCGAGGGAAAACTGTGAGTTTCTGCTCCTTTTGTGAAGGATGTTGCCGTTTTATTTGAGGCCACTGTCCTTGCGTTCCTCCCCCTGCCCTCCCTCAAGTCTCGATGCGTCTCGGCCCTTGGTTCTGCAGGCAGAGGGACTTGCTGTTACAGCCCTGGGCGTCAGAGGAGCTGGAAAGCTCCCAGGTATTCCCCAGAGCTCGAGGGGCTGCTGGTGCTGTTGGCTGGCTTGTGCGACCACCCTTTTGCAGAAGGGCTGTTGCCAGACAG